AAGGAAAAGAAGGTAAAGGGAGCTTGGAATGTGTCCCAAGAGGAAGTGATGTTTGAACTTCCTGTCCCCTTCCCTACCGCCACCCCTCACCTTTGGAACTCCTTCTCTCTCCTTGGTCATTCAACACAACCCCTTCTGCCCTCACTATTTTTCCTGTGGATGCTTCCTATAAAGGTACCTCCAGGCCAGATCTAGTTCTCTGATGGAACCCTGAAATTAAGGGGAGAAAAGAGTCTGTATGGGGGCATTAAGGTACCAATCAGAAAAATATTAACTTGGAGGCCAAAGGAAGAGAGAGCTTCAAAACAGAAAATAGACATTCGTGTCTCATGTAAATGAGAGAAGAAATGAAACCTGCTTTGTACTTGTTGGCTAAGCCATTGACAAAGTTGGCAAGTGTGTGTGAGAGGCAGTGAAGGTGGAGCTTTGGAGAAGACCAATGAAGCAGCAAACAAACTCTGTTCTGGGTACAGTCAGAAGTGTGGGAGGGTGAGAGAATTCACCAGAGCCAGAGCGGGGAACAGAACAGGCAGACTGACGAAATACACTGCTGAGGGGAGCAGTGGGCCAGACAGGAGAGGTCTGTCGAGCCATGTGGGACCCTCGCTGGTGGCCGGGGATCGAACCGGCGCTGCAGAGGCTGCAGGCAGCTTCCCAGCCCAGCGCTCAACCGCTGCACCACAGGGGAGGCCCTAAACTCTGTTCTCTTAAGACACTTATCTGATAAGGGAAAGGAAGACAGGAACCAGAGGAGGAGTTGGGAGAAGGGCATTCCTTTAATACAAAAACCATATGATAATATCAATAGATGCTGAGAAAGCTTTCGACAAAGTGCAACACCCATTCATGATAAAAGCCCTTGAAGTTCTTGGGATACAAGGAACATACCTCAACATCATAAAGGCCATCTATGACAAGCCAACAGCCAGTATCATTCTCAATGGTGAAAAGCTGAAAGCAATTCCATTAAGATCTGGAACAAGACAAGGATGTCCACTCTCACCATTGCTTTTCAATATAATACTGGAAGTCCTAGCCAGGCAATAAGACAAGAGAAGACATCCAAGGAATCCAAATAGGAAAAGAAGAAGTCAAACTATCACTATTTGCAGACGATATGATATTATACATAGAGAACCCCAAAAACTCCACAGAAAAGCTAATTCAACTCATCAATCAGTTCAGTAAAGTGGCAGGATACAAAATCAACACGCAAAAGTCAGTAGCCTTCCTATACGCAAACAATAAATCTGAAGAAGAAGAAATCGAAAAGACCATCCCTTTTGTTATTGAAACAAAAAAAATCAAATATTTGGGAATAAATCTAACAAAGAGGTAAAGGACCTATACAAAGAAAACTATAAAACACTGTTAAAAGAAATAGAAGAAGACACAAAGAAATGGAGAGACATCCCCTGCTCATGGATTGGAAGAATAAACATTATTAAAATGGCCATCCTTCCAAAAGCAATATACAGATTCAATGCTATTCCAATCAAAATTTCAATGTCATTCTTCAAAGAAATAGAAAAATTATTGATGAAATTCATATGGAATCACAAAAAACCCCGAATAGCCAAAGCTCTCCTGAAAAAAAAAGAAGGGAATGGAGGCATCAGACTCCCAGACTTCAAACTATACTACAAAGCCATAATCATCAAAACTGCATGGTATTGGAACAAGAACAGACATACAGACCAATGGAATCGAATAGAAAATCCAGAAATAAACCCACAGATTTATGGTCAACTAATCTTTGACAAAGGAGCAAAGACTATGCATTGGAGCAAAGAAAGTTTGTTCAATAAATGGTGCTGGGAAAACTGGGTCGCTACATGCAAAAGAATGAAACTTGACTACCACCTCACACCATACACAAAAATCAACTCAAAATGGATTAAAGAACTAGACATAAGACCTGAAACCATAAAATATATAGAAGGAAATATAGGCGATTTGCACATCAAAGACATCTTTACAGACACATCACCCAAAGCAGTGATAGTGAAGGCAAAGATAAACAGCTGGGACTATATCAAATTAAAGAGCTTTTGCACAGCAAAAGAGACAATAACAAAAACAAAGAGAAACCCCACCAACTGGGAGAACATTTTTGCACCCAACACTAATGATAAAGGACTGATCACAAAAATCTGCAAAGAGCTGATGAGACTCAACAACAACAAAGAAAATAATCCAGTCAAAAAATGGGCAGAAGAGCTTAAAAGAAACTTCTCTGAAGAGGAAATGCAAATGGCCAACAGGCATATGAAAAAATGTTCAACATCACTTGTCATCAGGGAAATGCAAATCAAAACTACCATGAGATACCATCTTACACCAGTGAGAATGGCACATATTAAAAAAACTAGCAACAACAAATGTTGGCGAGGGTGTGGAGAAAAAGGAACTCTTCTGCACTGTTGGTGGGAGTGCAAACTGGTCCAACCTCTGTGGAAAGCTGTGTGGAGATTTCTGGACCTACTAAACATAGAGCTTCCATATGACCCAGCAATTCCTCCTAGGTATTTACCCAAAGGACACAGAAACATCAATTCCAAAGAACACCTGCACCCCTATGTTTATAGCAGCACTGTTTACAATAGCTAAGCTTTGGAAACAACCCAAATGCCCAAAAATAGATGACTGGATCAAGAAGATGTGGTACATATATACCATGGAATATTACTCAGCATTCAAAAAAGATAAACACATGCAATTTGCTGCAACATGGATGGCGCTGGAAGGGATCATGCTCAGCGAAATAAGCCAAAAAGAAAAAGAAAAATACCGGATGGTCTCACTCATAGCAGGAATCTAGAAAACTTAAATAATGGACCAGGAAAATGAAAAACTATAAGAAAGTGAAAATCAAAATCAACAAAAAACTATGAACCAGAGACACTTTTAGGGGGGCGGGGGCGGGAGGGGAGGGATTGGGGTCAGAATGGGGGGCGGCAATTGTATGGGGAATATAACAATAAAATTTATAAAAAAAAAAAAAAAAAAAAAACAAAACAGAACCTATTTCTATGTTGAAAGGGTTGTATTAGCAAAGATGGTACGGTTGAAAATAGAGAAGGGAAACTGATGAAGTAAGCGTGCAGCGCTGCGAGGGAAGGACCCGGGGTCCTGGTGGAGAGAACCGCTTTCTCCTGCTCTGAAGTGGGAAGGAAGCAGGGAGGTGATAGCAGGGATGCAGGGAAGCTTATAGCCCCGGGGCAGGATATCTGATTACACACTTGCCTCACTGGAGTCTCGCATGTGGACCACAAAGAAAAGTGAGACACCATCCCTGAACTTTCCCCAGCAAACACCCCCTCCGTCTAAATGAATGAATGGATATGTAACCTTATATGCCTTGTAATTTGAACATGCTCAGCACTGCTGCCAAGTGCAGGATGCTGAGAGGTGCTTGCGTGACAGTAGCCTTGCTGAGAAATGGAGGTGTGTGGTGATAATAAAAATGAGTCTGACTATTAGTCAGTTTTATTATCTTACCATCATCTACAGGCAATGCACTCTTTACTGTCTATATCAGAGTTTTCCAGCCACCTGCCTTTGGTACACATCTCCTTGAAGCAAACATGAATGCTTAAAGCCAGTTTGTGTAACAAGAGTAAAAGAGTCTGAGAGAAACCAAGAACTCAAGTTTAACCCCTTCATGTTACAGAGGAAGAAAAGGAGGCCAGGACAGCTGAGGTCACACAAGACAGAATTAGCAGAGCTGGGTCTAGAATCCCATTCTCCTGAATCCTGGCTACCCTCAGGGGGAGTTTATCTTGTCTACCTTTCCAGACTACAGCCAAGACAGCAGCTTAGTGGTCTCTAAGTAAGAGAATCCTAGATGGAGGCCCAACAAGTATTTTGGGAGGAGGAGGTGGGGCGAATGACTTTGTAGAAATCTCTTTTTTCTTTCTGTTATGGAATCAAGGTGTTCACCTTTTAAAAGACTTTAGACCACAGCAACAAATTCCTTCATTTTAACTTCATTTATTGTCTTGGACAATGCTTTCAAGGAAATCTGAACCATTAACTCAGTCTTCTGTGCTTCTTAAAATTCCAAACCATATACATTCCAAAGTGGTGTGCATTGCGTATGTGTGTGTGTGTGTGTGTGTGATGGAAAATATAGTAAGTATAAACATGTATATATGTGTATACATATATTTATACACATACATATGTGTAAACTAAAACTCTAAAGCAACAAGGACAGTGATAGAAAATGGAGATGTAGGAAAATCAGAGGATCCTGAAAGTGTGCATTGAGAACTTGCTCTTTCCCCTGCTAGCCGGATGTGCAATATTAGATATAGAATGAATCATATTTTAAAATTAAACACAAAATATCTTATTTCTTAGAAATACCATGGGAAACCTTACTTAATATTTTGGAGAAGCAAAGAATTAGCCTCTTATTTATATATTTGGCATATCCTAGTTTTTGTAGGTTTTATTTGCTTTGAATGGGAAGGGTCAGTGTAAGTCTGTCACAAGGGCAGGAAAAGCAACAGAAATCATATCATGGACCCTGAGATATTTAATGTTTATTTTGCTCCAAGGAAGCAGAGGGGAAACTTTGTAAAATTAATTTATGGCACAGACACCTTCTGATCCAGATAATGTGATCTTTGGTGGAGACTACCCTAAGTTCCTTCCCAGTTTTTCTATTTGATGACAATGAAACAAGATAATGCTATGTTAGCTCAGTAGTCCTCAGAGGGCATTCCAGAAATGACTATGAAGGTGAACTGTAGTTGAAGATGATATTTACTTGGGTCTACTCCAGTTTTATAGGAGCACATGTAACTAAAACACTTTTTAGTACACAGCTAGACTTTTGCAGGACAAGAAAAACTACTTCTTTTGAGTGTTCATTTGGGGGTGACTGATTCTACTCCAATATGCCAACCATCTCTTGTTCTATTGTTTTTGTAGTTTATGAATATTCTTTTTTTAAAAAAATCAACATGTATGGGATACAAAAAAGCTCTTACCTCTCCTGAAGTCCTATGGGTTTCATTTTGAAAGGAGAAGGGCAGACAGAGGTAGTGGTTTTGATTTCAGGAGTGTGTCGGCCTTGAGGGTCTACCACCACGTCCAGTGCCTTCTGGACCTGCTCGGGCTGGACCATGCTGTTGACCGTCTTTGCCTCTGACTGCGTGGGTTGTAGGGCAATGGGTGAAAGGTGGATCTCCTGGTTTTTCTCTTTATCTTGTCTCAAGGAAAGCTGAAACTTTTCTTTTAATCTGTAAAGAATCTATAGAAGGAGATAGGAAGGCTCCTGTCACTTTTTACACACTCAACAACAAAGCATGACTTCAACCCCAAGCTAGAAGACAAATCGAAATAAAGGTTTAATGGTATACAAGTAAGCGAAGCCTTCGAGGATGTTTTTCAGTTTTGTGGTGCCCAGACGTATCCTACAGGGCAGACTTGGTGTTTTTAGTCATGGTGCACACTAAGATCAAGTGTATATATACATGAATCTATTTCTCAAATATATTTAAAAACATATTTGGCTAATTTATAAAAGTGCCAGATGTCAGTTTGATCTCATGTAAGTTTTTCCTTAAAATGACTGATATGGAAGATTTATAGAAGGAATAGTCATGAAATATGGGTTTGTGACATTTATAAAAACAGATTTACACCCAACACAATATGTAAGAATAAAGTTTTGCAGAATATTAACGAATGAATAGTTGTGCTCTAAACCATAATTTCTTATGCTGGTAAATATCTGAATTAGTCATATATCAACTTGAGTTTCTGATAAATACACAAATAGTTTAGGCACCTACTGAAAAATAATTTAGACAATCAGATTTTTCTTTCTTTTTTCTTTTTTAAAGATTTATTTATTTATACAAGAACTGGGGTACAGGCCAGATGTGCGGGAGGGTGAAAGGATTCACCAGAGACAGAGCAGGGAACAGAACAGGCCGACTGATGAAATACATTTCTGAGGGGAACAGCGGGCGAGACAGGAGAGGTCTGCTTCGCCATGTGGGATTCTCGCTGGCCTACCGGGATCGAACCTGTGCTGCAGAGGCTGTGGACAGCTTCAGAGTGTGGCGCTCAGCTGCATGCTCTACCAGGGAGGCCCCAGATTTTTCTTTCTTACCCCTTTCTCCTTGTCATTTTTAATGCATGTCAAAAAAATTCAAAAGCACACTTTCCTCCTTTCTTGGCTCTTTCTGGAATGACTAGCTCAATTCAAACATGAACGTTTTAACTTTTAAACTTTAAAAGAACTATACTAACTTCTTGGACACTCCATGGACAAACTGTGAGGTAAGCAGTTTGTCTTTCCTATACTCAGTCTTCCTTTATTTTATTCAGATTTTTGTTTTCTTTTTTCCAGATTTATTGAGGTGTAAGTGACACCTAATGTTGTATAAGTTTAAGGTATACAGCATAATAATTTGATGCTAACTCTTCTATTCCAATTCTTTTTTTTTTAAAGATTTATTTATTTATACAAGAACCGGGGTACAGGCCAGATGTGCAGGAGGGTGAGAGGATTCACAAGAGACAGAGTGGGGACAGAACTGTGGAAATACACTGCTGAGGGGAGCAGCGGGCGAGTCGGAGAGGTCTGTTCGCCATGCGGGATTCTCGCCAGCCGGCCGGGATCGAACCCACGCTGAGGAGGCTGTGGATAGCTTCACAGTGAGGTGCTCAACCGCCTGTGCCACCAGGGGAGGCCCTTCTATTCCAATTCTTGCAGAAACAACATGTGCTTGTGTTTCTTTAACTCTGTTCTCAGGAAGGGACTTGATAAGTCAGTTCTTATGAAGTGGTGACTTAATCCATTGTCTTCAATTATAGCATGATGATAGCTGCATTTTAAAATGTTTTAGGCCAACTGAACGCCCCTGCTTAATTTCTGGCATCCATTAGCTGAAGGAGTGCTATTTGGGGGACAGGGCTTTGCCAGCACTTTTCAAACACATCTACTCTAACAGTTTATGAGAAAAGTTCTTCTCTCCTCTTCCCCTCCCCCTTTCCCCTCAAATCTTATCCATCTCTGTATTTGAAACCTACGAGAAAAGCACCTAACTTAATTTTTTTCTTGTTAAAGGGTGACTACACTGGGAAAGAATTTGCCTGAAATTGTGCAGGAAATAAATACCTTTAAAAATTTATTTTAGGAAAATTTTAGAAAATAATTGTCCAATATTATCTAAATACATTAGTTGAAAAAAAAGCTGTTTAACAAAATAAGAACTGATACAAAGGGTGGATTAAATGTATGTTTAGTGACTTTTTAATTAAGGGTGCAGAGGGAATAAAGGTTAGAATGGTCACTAGAGGTCCTTCTGACTTCATATGAATTAAGGAAATTGCAGTGTTACTAAATGATGTTACTTGCCCATAATCAGCAGTTAGCAGTGGCAGAGCCAAGCCCTAAGGCAGTTCCGACTTGCAGGCCTTTGCATTTCCTACCTCCTTAATCACTTCTGGTGCTGCTCTTAACCATACAATCTTTTAAAAAAAATTAAGAAAATATTTTAATGAAACTATAGAAACAATGGTTTTTAGACTGAATATTCATGAGCAAAAGAGACCCTATGCTTTAAGTACTTACAGAGTTCCAAACCATTTGCTTCCTTAACATTGTCCATATTTTAAGTTCATAATATAAAGACAATCAGATTTACCATTTTGGGGAAAAAGAGAAAAAAGTATATTTATGATCAGCTAGATGTGCTCACCGTATGCTCCCCTATTTATATGCAAGTTTGGGTGAGCAGAAGTGCTGTCATCCAGCATTTTAATAAATTGGACAGCTGTTCCTTTCTGCATAACAAGGCATCTTTACACAAGAGCAATCAAGAGAAAACAGGGAACAGTGACTCAGTCTTCTCTACAACATACCACCTTTATGGCTAACCATCATTCTTAAAGATCAACTCTGAAAACATATCTGCAGCAGACGCGAACCTCATCACTGTTTCAAATCCACCTTTTGTGGATTGAAAGCCCCTCTTTAGGAAAAAGAGTATGGCACAAAGAAGGTATAACTAGAAAGAGCTGTTACAATTTAATTGCTAGGAAAATGAGAATCCTTACTGTCTTTTTTGTCAGTTCATTTCTCATAATCTGGAAAATTTTATCCTGGAGGTAGTCTTTGACTATGTGGAATGGTAAAGGCAAATCTTAAATTTTTGAAAACTATGGGTTCTAAATATTCCCATTACAAATGTTGCTAATCAAGAAAAAAATTAACGCTATGTGGCAAGTCATCCGACCCTTAATATAATTACTGTCACAAGCTATTGGATAGAAAAGTAGTGAAGATGAGTACCCTTACCCTGAGCTTTGTGCCAAAGGAAGGGAGGTTTTTATTTTTATTTGTTTTTACTTACTGCTTCTCTTAAGTTTCCATAACCCTCACAAGGTACTTAGCTATCACTCTGCGAAAACAAAAGTACAATGCCACACTGGACAATACCAACCAGATGACACAAACATGTTAAGATAAATACTAAGTACAGAGAGGTTAGGCAATAGAAGTTAATGTGGGATAGCTCTTCATTTATTAATTGCAAGCATGTTATTTTCCTGAATGAGAAAAAATATATCTGCACCTTTACAAAAATGTATTTAATAGATAATCTATATATTGACTATTCTAAGCATTTCATATCTAAATATAATAGGTGTGTCAGAACATTCACTCTCCTGTTTACACTTGAGTACCATTTTCAAAAGTGAAAATTAAAAAGTCAAGGAAATGTTTGCCTTCCCAATAGCTCCTAGCAGGTCACTTTGTGATTTCATTAGTGTAAAATAAGCTCCACTCCAAAGTCCCTCTTTAACATTCATGAGCTAATGTTCGTGTTGATCAAACTCTGTCACGTAGTTTATTATCATCTGTTTATTTCATTGTTGGTTAGAGGTTAACTTTTAAATCTGTCTCAATGCACTTAGTGCAAAAACTGATTTCAACATCTTTTTTTAATTAAATTTTTTTCATTATTTTACATCCTCACTAAATTTTGGACAATACAGCATTTCTCCCCTCAGTTGTGGTCACCATAGCTCTCCCATCACCAAAGCACCCAGAGTCCTCCATGATAGTCCATTGTGCTCCCCTATCCGTTTTCCCCATTCTTTGCCCTCTCCTCTCCCTTCCTGATTGCCTCAAATCTATGGTCAGCTTTCAAGGATTTGTTTTAAAGTTTGTCTTTGTGATTTTGACATCCTTATTTATGAAAAAGCAGACTGGAGAATATGTAATGTTTATGAGATGTTTAAAAAAATACTCAAGAGGGATTGGGCTTTCTGAGAAAAATGTGGAAACAAGTTGAAGAGGTCAGGTAATGATGTGTAAGTGGTTCTCAGGCAACAGGCATTTTGCCCTTCAGGAGACTGTTGGCAGCACCTGTAAGTAGTTTGGTTTCCTTACTGACCTATTAGTGTGTGTGCTTGGCACCTAGTAGGAAGATGGTAGGGATGTTGGCCAGTTCTCTACAATGTACAGACTAGACCAGCTTCCTCCTGCAGAATTATCCAATCTAAAACACCAACAGTGCTGCTAGTGAGAAACTGATGTAAGAAATTTTAAAAATCATATGGTGTTTTATTTTACATTTAAACCCAGAGTGGTTGGATAATTTTGGAAGGACAGAAATAAAGTTTGGAATACAGGTTTCCTGCCTTCAGGTCTATTGTTCATTCAACTCTATAGTTTCCTCTAAATCCCCATACTTTCTTGCAATCTATTTCCCAAAAGAAAAGTTGTCAGAGATTTTTCTCTGCACCAATAGAGAGCTGGACTATAGCCTATGCATAACTGTCTATGTAAATGCATTTTATTTCTAAGATCAACATAAAATTTTACCATTGCATTGTATTTTTTATTGTACCTTTAAGAGTTTGTTTGAATCTTGAGATGCAATGATGATTCGATCATTTGAAAAAAGAAAAGAGGAGGGAATATTGAATAAAAGATGCTGTAAAAGCCAGACTACAGTAAGAGAAAAAAAAAAAAGTAACAGCAGGAAGAAGAGAACCAGAGGAATACAGAAATGAAAGGAAGATTAAGAAGTCGTATAAAATTTGACAGAGGGCTACTATCCAAAATCTACAAGGAACATATATAACTCAAAAAAAAAAAAAAAAAGAAAACAAGTAACCCAATCAAAAAAATGGGCAGAAGAGCCAAATAGACACTTTTGGAAAAGAGAAACAAAGATGGCTAACAGGCACATAAAAAAATACTCATCATCATTTATCATCAAATACACC